AGCCCTGTCTCAAAAAACAAACAAATGCTGTTGGTGCCAGTCCACTCACTTATTTCTGCATTAACGAGGTAACAGTTGTTGTCTTCTTATTTTTTCCCTCTAATATCTGAGGGCAGAGCAGCTGTAAATATTAGTGAAGGCCCTATGAGATGGCCTTTGGCTTCTTCAGAAGATTTCTTGATAAATTCCCCCACCCTTTCTAAGGAGTCCACCTTAAGAGGAGAGTGTCGGTAGTCTGTCATTGTTGAATCAGGCCAGGAGTCTGAGGTCGGTTCTGAGTCACTGTGAATAGAGCTCTAGTATTGGTTGGTCCCCAGGGAAACTGGTGGTTAAATTCTGTGAGAATCTTTATCAGACAGGAAATGACAACTCATTAAAATACTAACCGTTAAGCCTGTTTAGATCATTCACTGTCTGGGGGTGGGAGGGAAAATTTAACCCTACAGCATTTGACTAGAGTGTGCATATTTCTAAAAGCCGAATTATTTACAAGTCCCTTCCCAAGAAAAAGAATTATCGTCTCTTATTTTTTATAGAAGACAGGTGTGAAAATGGTGGAGAGTTCAGAATACATATTTTTGTTAGGTACATGATTTCAACAAATAGAGTTGACTGTGTTCTAAAACTATTTTAAAAATCAGATATCTTACTTACAAACTGATGAGGTATGTTATCGGAGAGTGTTTATTTGTTGGTTAATCTTTGTCTGTCTGCTTTCTCTGAGGTAGCAGCTCACAGTGTTGTCCAGGCTGTGGCCCATCGTGGGCTCAGACGTGCAGCATTTCTCCTGCTGCATGGTCCTAGGTGCTGCAGTTACAGGTGGAGGCCGCTTCGTGCAGCCGCATTTCTTTTCTTTCCTTTTTCTTTAAACAGTAATTACTGTTTGCCAAGAAGTCTGTGTTCTGTCTGTGCGAACATACACTTAGGTATAAAGCCATGGGCAACAGCCAAACACGTGAAATCAGTTTTGACTTGTGAACTTTAGAGTTAAGAGTTCAGGATTTATATTTGTTGTTGTTTAGTTTTGTGTCCCCTCCCCCTTCTAAAATTCAGTCACAAGAAACAAAATATCAAGTGCCACCTACCACTCACAAAATAAATTTATTATTCATTCCTTTGTTAGTTTGTTTTTCAGGGCAGGGTTTTCTGTGTAGCCTTGGCTGTCCTGGACCAGGCTGGCCTTGAACTGTCCTTGAACTCACAAAGATCTACCTGCCTCTCTCTGCTCCTAAGTCACCCACAGAGCTTTTTTCTCCCTATTGTTTTAAGTGGACAACAAGGGGAAAAGTAAATGAAACCACCTTTTTTCTTCCAATGCTTTCTTGTTGAGAGCAAATAGCTATTTCTAAAGCTAGTATAAGTACATTTTAGTCTAACAGGATGCTACAAAAGAGTCAAGTGCTAAAACATAGTTGTTTGTGTTTGTTCTTCAACCTTCTGTTCTTCTGTATCACAAAACTAGTTCCCTGAGCTTACTCAGTACTGATGGCAGGAGGAGGACTTCACTCTTCAGTGTTGAGATAAGCTCTCAGCTGTGTGCACAAGGTAGCTCTCAACTTAATGCTCTCAGAAGGACGACTGAACTGTATGTAATGTGAGTGTGCACACACACACACACACACACACACACACACACACACACGCCTTCAAGCACGTTGTTCCTAATGTGTCAGAGCAGACTTCTGCCTCTGGTCTACTACTAAGATGTGTGTTAATGGGAACCACTGTGGCTGAGGGTGGTAGGATGCTTTCCAGCAGTGTGAAGCTCTGAGTTCGTTCTTCCCCGGCAGGGTATGACGGCGCAGGTCTGTAATCCCAGCAGTCTGGGTGTAGAGGCAGGGAGAGCATGAGTTCTTGGCAAGTCTGGGTTGTATAACAAGTTCCAGCCCAGCCAGTGCTGATTGAGTCCCTGTCTGGGAAAAATGGTGGGGAGTGGGCAGTAGAAAGATGGCTCAGTGGTTAAAAGCACTTGTTGTAATCGCTTTTTTTTTTTTTTTTTTTTTTTCATTCAAAACCTCTGGTGTAAGAATATTTTGTGGGAGCTCAGCTCAGCAGGTCAAGATCCTAACCCCTGAGTTAGGCTCGTAGGACCCACATGTAGAAGGAAAAACAGTTGTCCTCTGCTGGGCACGGTGGCACACACCTGTTTCATCTCAGCATCCAGAAGGCAGAAAAGCAGGCAGGTCTCTTGAGTTCCAGGCCATCCAGGGCTACTTAGTGAAACTCTGTCTTAACGAAGGAGGGGAAAAGGACAGGTGAACCTGCTAAGGAGCCCTGTTGGTTGTGCATAGGGTTCGGTTCCCAACCTCTATGCACAACCATCAGTAACCCCAGTTCCAGGGGATCCAACACTCCCTTCTGGTCTCCTTAGGCACTGCACACACATGCAGATGTTCATCTACATTAAATAAATAAGTAGCAACAGTTATTTTCTGACTTGCACTGCTGCGTACACATGCACAGTGGATAAATAAATGTAATAAAATTTAAGCTTTTTGTCACACTGGTGGTACATGTCTATTATCCCATCCCTCAGAAGGTAGAACTATGCAGGAGAGTGGTAGATTTGGAGTCATCCTGGGCTACATAGAAAGACCCTATCTCCAAAACAAAATAACAGCAAACCACACACAGAAGGGAGCAGTAACACAAACTTGTAGTTTCTCCCTGGAGGCCTGATCTTTGTGCAGACTCAGTTCAGCACGAAATGCTGTGGACTATATCTTCAAAGGGAGGGAGCTTAACAGGCTGCAGCAAATAATTGGCTTTAAAATTGTACCTAGATTTCATAATTGGTTTTAAAACCATACCCAGATTTCAAATGTGTTGTTCTTTATTTATTCGCATCATTTATTTGCTCATACTAGTTTGGGTTACAATATTTAAAATATATTTAAATTTGCATCCTTTTCCTCATATTTAATGGGAATTTGCATGGAGAATTACTCTCTCACACCACCACAGCTCTCTGAAGCATAAAATTCTGAGCACCTCATTAAATTCATCTTAACATTAGTCACAAAATAACTCCTTTAAAATCTGCAAAGTGGTCAACTGTAAAGGACTTAAGATGAATGGCAAATGTTTGTCTCTTCAAACTGTTCTGAAGGGATTCTGGAATGGTTCTGTTCTTTCCCTCACTATCTGGGGAAAGAACAGAAGAAACTTAGAATCTTTCCAGCGTGTGCAGTCTGTGCTCCCGTCTTCCTAGGTCCTAATTCTTGGTGGTTTGAGATGATGGTGTGAAGAGCTGGCGTAGAGGCTGAGTGAACGTGGCCTATGAAGAGGGGTGCCCACACAGCTCTTGTGGTGTATCTGTCCACTCATTTTGCTGGAATTGTTTTGATATCTAGATAATTTATTTCTAGTGTAAACTACTAAGGAAATGCTTTTTTTTTTTTTTTTTCTTTAAAAAGAAAAAGTTCTGGTTTTGTTCGTTTGCAATTTGAATCATTACTGGTGAACAGTACCACCACTGTGGTCTGCCTGCTTAGCATAAGGCCACTTAAAAATCACTGGGGTGTGGGCACGGTGCTCGCACCTGTGACCTAGCGCTCGGGACAGATTGTCTGTGCAGGCTGTAAGTGGCCATCGCCGCCCATCATCCCTCGGTCATCTCTCCTTCCTCCCTCCGGTTCTTTTAGCAGATTTGGAATACGTACTATCTTCTGTTTGGTTTCTAAGTCAAGGTCTCTGTGTAGCTCTGGCTGCCCCGGAACTCAACTCCGTAGACCAGGCTAGCCTCTTAACCCACAGAGATCCCCTGCCTCTGCCTCCTGGGCTAACATGCCCAGGTTCACTTGGTTTGGAGGTGCTCTCTTTTTATAGCATGGACACAATGTAGGGACTCCTTTGAAGAAAATAGCCAGCAGTTGGGAAGTTGTTTCTGTCTGGCAAATACAATATTTAAAAAAAAAAGTTGTGGGGTTTTTTTTTATCCTGCTTTTGTAGGCAGCAACTTAATTGTTTCGGGAGCAAAAAAAGATAGGGTTCACTGGAGTCAGTGCACTTGGCAAAACAGCACGGGGCACTGCACACAGGAGCCTTCCATACTCTGTCCCTAGAAAAAAGTACAGGCTTAAATAAGACAGATGAGAAAGTAAAGGGCCCAGGAAGTAAGAATGTTTACTTTTCAAAGTTGCTCCACAGTGCCATTTTAAAAGCCTGTTAGCTATCAAAAGAAAAAGAAAAAGCGGGAGCCTGCTAGCTTCAGTGGCCAGACCGGTTTTCCAGCCCTGGCTCCACAAGCTCTGGGGAGCGGGGTTGGTCCTGAGCCTTATCAGAGGTAGCTATCCACAAGTCTTGGAACAAACTGTTCAGTAATGTACCCGAGTTTCTGTGCAAACATCCATCAGAAAGCACGAAATGATTCAAGGTCCGTAGTTCCTTCTTTGTTCCTTTGTTAATCACTGACTTCTGGCTAGGGGGAGGTGCCTCCCGAATGTGCTAATGCATTCTTTTTGGATAAGGATGACGCAGGGGTTGTCCTAATAAGGATTTAGATTGAGAAAGCACCTCCCACCCCCACCCCCACCTCCAGGAAGATGGGACAGTCAGAGAGGGAGGGCAGTTTCTTTTTTAACTACAGATGACACAAGCATAAGTCATTTCCTTATTAATCGGTTTAAACCAGTTCTTACAGGAACTAGTGGTGATAAATGTGGGACTTCTCAGAAGTCATTCATTTTATTCTTTGTGCCACACCAGTGTGCAGTCTTAGCTGCGCTGGCTTCACTGTCCTGTGATAGCAGAGGCTCTGGGCTCACACTCCACTTCCTTCCAAATACACTAACGCTGGAGATGTCTCCACCAGGGATTTTTATCCACTAACCAGGCTTCACAGGACTGCCCCAGCTCTGATTGTTGTATTTTGTTCTTTTTATGCAGTCCCTGTGGTTTTTTGTTTTGTTTTGTTTTGTTTTTTAAGTCTGAGGGGTAAGTGGATTTTCTTTAACATTTCTCTTGCTTGTCTTCCCTTGGGCTTTGGTGCCTGCCTCCAGTGCTGTCCCCGGCATAGGTCCGTCTCTGCAGAAGCCTTTTCAGGAATACCTGGAGGCACAGCGGCAAAAGCTTCACCACAGGAGCGAAGCAGGCACATCACAGGTGAGGATCCCTCTGGCTTCGTCCCCAGGCAGCTTCAGGCTCAAATTAGATTTACTGCTCACTGCTCTCCCAATTTCTAGATGGAGTGGGTGAGGTTGTTTACCAATCTCTTAGCAGAAGTTGAGGCACCAAGGATTCTTCACTGGGGAATTTGTCTTTGTCTATCAGGTGTTGTTGTTGTTGTTTGTTTTGTTTGTTTTCAGAAACAAGGATAGTGTAACAAAAGACAATTAAAACATGGCCTTCCAGATTGGGTTAAAAAGTTAAAATGTACATCCATCACAAAGTATTGGGTAACATTAATGTCCTTGTTCTTTTCTGCTGTGGGAAAGCAACTGTTTGCTTTCTTCTTTATTCCTTTTTAAATAAAGCAAGGCTCCTGCCACAGCTGAACTTTTAACTTAATAAAACCAAGCCTGGTCGATTTGTCAGCAGATCAGAGGCAAAGAGGAAAGAACCAGCAGGGATGAGTGAGTGAGTGAGTGAGTGAGTGAGTGAGTGAGTGAGCGAGCAGCAACCTGAACCAAGAAGCTCAGAGAAAAGCAGTTGTTCTTCATTGGCTAAAGCCTCTAAAGCCTCTTACATATTTCGCTGCTGTTCTACAAGCAGCTCTAACACTAAAGCAAAGTTTAAATGTTCTTCCCTTCCAAGCAGGATCTGCAAGGCAGCTGTAGAGAGCAGACCGTAGCCCACATTAGGCACACTATAAGGAAGGCCTGCCTCCCACCTCTGTAAACTCTCCAAGCTGGCATCAGCTATGCAGCCAGCAGCATGAGCTCTGCTGGCTTGGCCTGAATGTAGATCTCGGGATACCTGGAGACAAGTTTTTAATTGTTTGGGTTTTATAGGCAAGCCTCAAGTTCTCATCATTTCCCTTGAAGTGTTGTAAATAATCTCCTTACTGTTGAACAAAGGAAAGCCTTTTTTGTGAATTGTTCTTTCTTTCCTGCAGGGAGAAAACTGGTTGTCCTGGATGTTTGAGAAGCTGGTGGTTGTAATGGTGTGTTACTTTATCCTGTCTATCATTAACTCCATGGCACAAAGTTATGCTAAACGGATCCAGCAGCGCTTGAACTCAGAGGAGAAAACTAAATAAGCAGAGAAAGTTTTTATCTGCAAAAATTAGCGTGGTGGGGTCCTGCCTTACATGAGGAGGGCTCTAACCAGGATGGAAGATCCCCGTTTCCAACCTGTATTGATTTTTAAAATGTTCTTCCTGAAAGCAGTTTAGTCCATATTTTACACTGACACACTTTTCCTTTATGTGTTAAGGTAAGGTCTCCACCCTCAGTTCAATCCACGTTGTATTTCGTTAGGGTGGGTGTGATGTTCTGCTGTGAACTAAACAAAAACTGGCCTTCTGATACTTTCACAGGGACACAGGGTCCATGGAGAACCCTGGCCACACAGAATGCTCTAAAGTATGCTCTAAATATGTCAGGCTTTTTAGGCTTGTCACAAATGATTGTTTTTTCTAAGTCATCAAATGTATATAAGTTACATATATATTGGATAGCAGTCTTGCATGTCTATCATGGAACAATTTAATATGCCTTCCTTTCCCACCCTCCAAAAGGCCATTTTATGATGCATTGCACACCCTCTGGGGAAATTGATCTTTAAATTTTGAGACAGTATAAGGAAAATCTGGTTGGTGTCTCACAAATGAGTACACCATTTTTTATTCTGTATATTTAGAATGAAGTCATGAAAAACTTTATAAAGACATCTTTGATCATTCCGAAATCGTGTCCGTTTTCTTTAGTGGTATGGATTTTTGCTTCTTGTTCACTTCTACCAAGTGAATGGCAGCCTTGTCAAATATACTTACAATCGAAATTGCCTAGGGTATTATTTATTGCCTGAAAGAGCCACCAGAAAGCTGTCTTGTTATGCTGGACCTGGAGAGCTAAGTGGACCTGTGAGCTTTGCCTAGAGTGGGAACCTCTTGCTTTATGAAAACAAGAAGTGGTGATATATAAATCAAAGGACACTAGCAAGAAACACTTTTTCATGTTCATGTTAGTTTTAGCTGTTTGTACCCTGGCTTTAACAGATGGAAGTTTACTTCTCTGTGTGTTTCTGTGTTTTATTCTTAATGTGATTTTCCTTTGACTTTTTTTCTGATTGACCCTGTCCATTTTGTTTTGCTTGGTAGGAAAATAAACGGCTTTTTTTTTTCCCCTAGAGTTGGCGTTAAGCCTTGGCAAGCCAGAGATGTTTGCTTTGCTTTAAATCCCGCCTGAGCACCTCTTGCTTGCCAGCCGTCGTGACATCTGCATGGCTGTACCACCTTGTCGGGTAGCTTATCAGACTGATGTTGACTGTTGAATGTCATGGCAACAGCAGTCGATGGGCTGTCTGACATTTTGGTATCTTTCATCTGACCATCCATATCAAATGTTTTCATTCAGACATTACCCAGCATCATGTTTACAGTCAAATTTTGTAGTCCTACGTCTCATGACACTTGAAGCCTTTATGCCACACTACTGTAGCAGCATCAAGAGGAAACTTGGTAGGACATTGAGGTAGTAGTCACAATCATAACTAATAAATCAAATGAAAAGTCACCTGCCTCCTGGATTTCGGAAAGGTTGTACAATGCTTGTTTGGCTGATTGGTTTATATTTTTTTCTCTTTGGGGGCTAACCGTGTGTTACCTGACTGTACTGTAAAAAGCAATACCCAAATTAAGCGATGGAACTTCCTTTTGTTTAGCTGTTTGTCTCTTTATTTTGAGATACGGTATTACCATGTGGACTAGGCTAGTCTTGGGCTCACGGGGTCCGTACCTGTGCCTCCTGAGTGCTGGGGTTAACTTTATGCACCATCACTCGGCTTAGACCAGTGTAATGCGTGTGCTCTCAGCTAGCTAACGTTACAATTCCATTCTAGTTTCCATTTGTTTCACCTCCTTTCTTCACCTATTTTATTTTGTGTTTACTTGAAGAAAGAAGAGATTAAGTGTGAATTATATTAAATTTTTGGGAATTATTTATAAACTTGCTTCAGGGAAGAATATTTGAAAAAGAAAAACTGTTTCCTAAGCTAAAAGTTTAGGAGACTAGTTAAGTCCCGTCTCGAATTCCAGGGGAAGCACTGTGATGAGCCTTTTGTGTGGTGTTGCCTGCCTCCATGAGCCACTCACACAGGTACTGCCACTTCATTCCCGCCAGGGGGGCCCAGAACACTTGCAAATGGATGGTTTAATATTCCTGAAACGTGAGAGGGCTTGGGCATTGCAAATTCATCCCTGCCAATCCCAGCTAAATGCCCCATCAGCAGCTTATACACTCAAGCCTTGTCATGAGAGGGAGCCAGGTCTGCTTTCCATGGCTTCCTGAAATCTCATATATGCTTAGTCTGGACTGTGGGGCTCTGAAGAAGGCTATTTTCTTTTATTTGGATAATGAATACCTAGTCCAGTGGTTCTCAATCTGTGGGTCATGGCCCCTTTTGCAAACCTCTGTCCCCAAAAATATTTACATTACAATTTCTAACAGTAGCAAAATTGCAGTTATGAAGTAGCAATGAAAATAACTTTATAGTTGGGGATCATCACATGAGGGTCACAGCATTAGGAAGATTGAGAACCTCTGGCCTAGTCCCATGCTCCAGACAATCTAGAAAAGGTTAAGAGAGCAAATGGCCTTTTTGTGCCTACTTGGTACAGAAGTGCATCCTGAGGGGAGTGCCCCCACCCTCACCATGCCTCCAGCATGCTCTGCTGTCTGCAGCATGAGAGCAGCACAAGATTCCTGTTCACAAGTCATTCAGCTGTCACACACCAAATACAAGTGCTGTATTAAGCTAAGGTTACCAGCAGTAAAGGTTCCTAAACTCCAGTTTTTGTTTTGTTCTTTTGCTTGTCTGTTTAAGACAGCATAGCCCTGGCTGTCCTGGAACTCCCTACATAGACCACCAGCCTGGCCTCAACTCAGACTTCACCTGCTCAGCCTCCCAAGTGCTGGGACTAAAGGCGTGCACCACCACACTTGGCCTTAACTCCAGGTTTTTAGACGAATATGTACTTTCCCATCAAAAAGACTATATTATTTTTAATTACATGTTTCGTGTGTGGGTATGTGCACATGCATTAGGGGGTCAGAAGAGGGCATTAGTGCCCTGGGTTTGGGAGCCATCCATGTGAGTGAACCCAGGGCCTCGACATGAGCAGTCTTTGCTCTCATCTCCTGAGTCATCTTTCCGCCCCTTGTCTTCAGTTTTTAAATCATAAAAAATTAGCTTATACACATGCAGAAATCTCACAGGGTATTCACTCCACCAGAAATTTGCTTGCAGGTTTTCTGGCTTAAACCCAGGCTTCTAGCCCTGTTGAGTACCGAGCCACATCCCTGTTTTCACAGCTCTCTTGGAGCCCATCCCATCTTGAATAGATTTTTGTAGTAAGTGAAAAGGACTATTTGACCAAACATTTTTAATTTTGTTTTGAGAGGTATTGTGTTTGGGAAGTTATATGTGTGTCTTCCTCACAGTGCTGGAGCTTGAGCCCTGGGCCCTGGCATGCTGTATACATGGCACAACTAAACTACAGTCCAGTCAGAATGTTTTTGTTTGTTTGTTTGTTTGTTTGTTTTGGTTTTGGTTTTTCGAGACAGAGTTTCTCTGTGTAGCCCTGGCTTTTTTGGAACTTACTCTGTAGACCTGGCTGGCTTCAAACTCATGAGATCCACCTGCCTCTAACCACCTGCACTCAGTCCCTTGGACCCACATGGTGAAGGAGAGACTCAACTCTTGCAAATTGTTCTTGGATCTCCACACACATTAGCTCACACATGGAGCCACACACATACTCATTAAATAAATGTAAAAAAAGAGTTTGAAAAGCGAAAACAACAGCTTTTAGAACCTTAGAATAAACCAAATCCAGATATCTAGTATAGATTACTACGTAAATGTGCTTAAAACCCCTTAAAAAAAAAATATTTGGGGGGGTGTGGTGGTGCATGCCTTTAATCCCAGCACTCAGGGAGGCAGAGGCAGGCTGATGAATGTGAGTTCCAGGCCAGCCAGGTCTACAAAGTAAATCCCAGGACAGCCAAGGGTACACTGAGAAACCCTGTTTTGAAAAAAAAAAAAAAAAAAGAAAAAGGAAAGAAAGAAATTTGGTGGCATGATGCCTACTTTTTTTTTTTTTTTTTTAAGAGGTTTCTCTGTGTAGCCCTGTCAGTCCTGCAACTCTGTAGAACAGGCTGGCCTCCAACTCAGAGATCTGCCTGCCTATACCTCCCAATTGCTGGAATAAGAAGCATGTGCCATTACACCTAGCCTGATCTTTTTTTTTAAAGTATGTTTATTTTATGTACATTTGTGTTTTGCCTATATGTATGTCTATGTGAACATGCCAGGTCCCGTGGAACTGGAGCTGCAGACAGTTGTGAGCTGCCACGTGAGTGCTGGGAATTGAACCCAGGTCTTCTGGAAGAACTCTTAACTCTGGAAGTGCTCTTAACCACTGAGACATCTTTCCAGCCCACTGATTTTTTTTAATAGACACAAAAAGCTGATTCATTTCCTTCGTAAATAATTCGGTTGTGTGTGTGTGTGCTGGTGATAGGGTAGCACAGAAGGAGGCGGTCCTGCCTAGGCCGTGGAGTGCCCAGATCATGGGCAGACAACACGGGATCAGGCTCGGCTTGCTGAGAGTTACTCCAGAAGAGCTCAGGAGCCCCTTTAAAGACAGCACCCTAGCTCACAGCAGCCCACCTTCTCTGGCATTCTCAGACAGCAAAAAAAGAGGGCACGTAGCATACCTTATAGTCACTGAGCAATGTTAGGGCTCATCCGTGTGTGGCTGGCAGAGGCTGGGGCTCCAGTCCCCTTCCCACGTGGTCGAGAGTTCTCCTTGGAGGCAAGGCCTTGAATTGCAGCAAATAACTAGCTACATGTATTTTCATCTTTAAGCTGTTCCGGGAAGAGATCTTACAAAAGCCTGTGACACATGGCTGCTTACTCAAACCTTTAGAATTGTTGGGTGCTGGGAGAGGCAGGTGCCAACTGTTGTTGTTCTTTGACCCATTGGACCTGCACAGATGTCTGTGTAGCTGTTAATACTAAATTGAAAGGGAGGTTGTTTTAGGCATCCCCTGTTCTGACAGGATTCATTTCAAAGCTGAATTTATTTAAATTCTCGATCAGGAGACTGACTGACCCAAAATCCAGTGAGAATGAGTCAGTTGCAAGTGACTGGCTGGGTCTGGGAACAGACAGAAACGCAACTTTTAAGGGTTTGTCATCCAGACCCACTATAGTGAGGACTGAAACATCTGTTCCTCTCGAAGTAACCTTCTTTCCAAGCTCACGGTTGTTTTCTCCAGTCTTCAGCAGTTGCTCTAATTTAGGCCTGAGCCTCTAGGACATGGGAGCCGGTAGGGTGCACTTCAGTCCTGATCAGAATTGCTCCGGGAAGGAAGAGGATTTTACTGTTGGAGGTTTACATGGAAATTCCCTTCTCCTGTTTGGAGCCAGGTGTCCAACCTATTTGTTAACCATTTCCAAATGACTCAAAGGACAGACAGGAAGCGCTTGGACACACTCCAGCACTGTTTCTACACAGCAGCCTCTATTTGCATTGGAAACCACATTCCAGAATTCTGAAGGGCTCCCACCTCCAGGGACCCGGGAACCACCTATGCCAACTGAGGCATAGACTGTGTCATGGTCTTCAGGCAGTTTCTTGCCTCCTTCGATGGTCTTCAACCTAAAATCGTGTTCATTCCAGGAGGCCTTTGTTCCCATTCTTTTTCTCCCCCACTATTCTAAACGTTGTGGTTTCCGGCTGCCTCTCCACAGACAGAAAATGAGCCATCTTCTCCTTGGGGCCTCTTTGAACTGACCCAGCTGGACAGCATTGCTTAATTGTGTTCTAGGCTGTTTTGGATCAAAAGCAAGTGGTTTTGGGGTTTTGAGGCAAGTTAGGCATTTGAGTAAAGGGATAGCTGTGCCTCTCCCTGGAGCTTAGCACTGTTGCCTTCCTCCAGCTCCTCACCATGCGCTGCAGACAAAGAGCAGGGCAGTTACGACACGTGCCTGAGCTGGGCTCCATAGCCATGGCTAAAAGGAATGGTGTTTTGCTCAATCCAACCACTTTTCAAGAAGGTCATAAATAAAATAAATAAGAAAGCATCTCTCTGCAGCCCCTTCCCGCCCATCTGGAGATCACTGTAGGGTTTTGAAGACTGCTAAACCCCATATGGCCCAGAGCCTGCACGTTTTGGCCATGCCATTCTGCCCATTGCAGCAGCCCCTTCAACTCTCAGACTGCAGTAGCACTTTCTCTACAGCTAGCTGTGCTCTAGGCTCAGCAGCCGCCATCAGCTCACAGGGGCGCTCTGATAGGCCCTGAGCTAGGCAGCACAGCGGATTGCTGTAACTTTGATGATTGCTTGCTTTTTCCAGACAATATTTTCAGTGCCCTTTCAAGTGTGTTGTGCTTAATCATTTAATCCTCACTGCAACCCCAGAAGGGCATTATGACTGGGAAGTTCAGCTGTTTGTGGGTTGGGAGGGCACGAACACGGAAGTAGCCATCTAGGCGTTGGCACTGCAGCTCTTCTGTAGAAATCAGTGCAAAAGTTCAAACTGCATCTTGTGATCACTGAATTGGTGGAGAGAGGAAGGCAGCGGAAAGCCAAGCACTGCCCAAGAACTCAGGCAGCTTTTCCGCCTTCCTGTGTCAGGGTTGGAAGTTCCCTCCCTAGCTCCCCCGTGTGGTCAGGTTCCGGGTGCTCTTAGTGGTAAACAAGGTTACTAAACAATTCATGCTGCTTTAGGCCTTTTTTTCTTTTCAATTTTGGGACAAGGTCACTTTGTAGCCCTGGCTGGCCTGACACTTACCGAGATCTACCTGCCTCTGCCTGGGCGCGCACCTTTCTGCATTTTCAGAGTACTTTACCTCTTGGAATTGTTTTAATCTTCCTAACAACCATGTGAGGTCCGTTGGAATAAGTTTAAAAATACACCGCACGTACGACAGATCTGGTATTAAAGATACTTCCTGGATGGAGAGAGAGATAGACGTGGTGAGGGGAGAGGGCGCCCCGACCGGGAAGGGAGGGAGAGAGAGAGAGAGAGAGAGCGCACACCTATTTATAGCTCGTGCCAGGTGCGGCGACACATGATGACGTCATTGATTCCTAGGCAACCCAGAAGCAGGCTGTCTATACGCTAACCAGGTCATCTGTGCAAGGAATGGCATAAGCCACACTAAAAAAGCGGTCGTGACGTCATCGTCCCGCGCCCGCTCCTGTCAGCGCCTCCCGACGCGGCTGTTTTGAAGCCTCCGGAAGCGGCCGGCGCGTCCGCGCGTGGGGTTCCCGCCCCGTCGCTGGTGTCGGCGTCCCGCGTGGGTCGGTCCGCCGCCGCCATGCCGCCCGGGAAGCCGCTGCAGCCCGTGCTGAAGATGAAGGTGGACGAGCTGTTCCTGCGCTGGCTGAGCGATCCCGACACGCAGCGCGCGCTGCACGACGAGCTCCGCCGCATCCAGCACGCGGGGGCCGCGGAGCCCGGGGACGCCAGACACGCGTGGGCGAGCGGGCCCGGGCCTCCCGGCGTCTCCTGCGCGCCGCCCGCCCACGTATCCGGGCCTCGGGCCGCGCGCGCCGCCCGCCGGACGGCGGGGCCCAGAGCGGCGCAGCCCCCGAGGGAGGAGCCGCCGGCCCCGGCCGCCAGCCCGAGCCTTCCCGCCTTCCACTTCCCGCGGGGCCGCCCCGCCGACGCCGTGGACGTCGACGCCGCCGTCGCCAGGATCGAGCACGTGTTCTCGGAGCTGCCGCGCGAGAGGGCCACGCTGGGCGACATGGGCGCCGTGGCCAAGGCCTGCGGGTGCCCGCTCTACTGGAAGGCCCCGCTGTTCCACGGCGCCGGCGGGGCGCGCGCGGGCGCCGTGGCCGCGCACCAGTTCGTGGCCGCGTGGCGGAAGATCCTGCAGAGCTGCCACGACGACGCGGCCAAGTTCGTGCAGCTGCTGGCCAAGCCGGGGAGCACCTCCCTGGCGCAGGAGGACTTCGTGCCGTTCCTGCAGGACGTGGTGAGCACGCACCCGGGCCTGGCCTTCCTGAGGGAGGCGTCGGAGTTCCACTCGCGCTACATCACCACGGTCATCCAGAGGATTTTCTACGCCGTGAACCGCTCGTGGTCGGGCAGGATCACGTGCGCGGAGCTGCGGCGCAGCAGCTTCCTGCAGAGCGTGGCGCTGCTGGAGGAGGAGCCCGACATCAACCAGCTGACGGAGTTCTTCTCCTACGAGCACTTCTACGTCATCTACTGCAAGTTCTGGGAGCTCGACACGGACCACGACCTGCTCATCGACGCGCGGGACCTGGCGCGGCACGGCGACCACGCCATCTCCTCCAAGATGATCGACAGGATCTTCTCGGGCGCCGTGACGCGGGGCCGGAGGGCGCCGAAGGGCGGGAAGCTGGGCTACGCGGACTTCGTGTGGTTCCTCCTCTCGGAGGAGGACAAGAGGACGCCGACCAGCATCGAGTACTGGTTCCGCTGCATGGACCTGGACGGCGACGGCGTGCTGTCCCTCTTCGAGCTCGAGTACTTCTACGAGGAGCAGACGCGGCGGCTGGACGCGCGCGACATCGAGCCGCTGCCCTTCCGCGACTGCGTGTGCCAGATGCTGGACCTGGTGAGGCCGCGGAGCCCCGGCAGGATCACGCTGTCCGACCTGAAGCGCTGCCAGCTCGCCGGCGTGTTCTTCGACACCTTCTTCAACGTCGACAAGTACCTGGACCGCGAGCAGAGGGAGCAGATGGCGCCGCCGCGGGACGCGGACTCCGACGGCCCCGGGCTCTCGGACTGGGACAAGTACGCGGCTGAGGAGTACGACTTCCTGGTGGCCGAGGAGGCGGCGGGGGACACGGGGGACGACTGGCTGGAGCCGCAGCTGAGGCCGCTGTTCTCGGCGCCGCCCACGGCGGGGGACGTGGATCTGTACCAGTTCGCGTGCGGGGACGATGACCCCGCGTGACCGCGTGGGCCCCGTCCCCTGTGCGGGGTGGGGGGACCACCACGGCGGGGCGGGGCACGTCACCTTTTTATTTTTTTCAATAAAGAGTTTCAGAGTTTTGTTTCTTTTTTTTTTTTTTTTTTTTTTTAAATTAGCAGACTATGGTGGTGCTCCTCTATGGTTTCAGCACTTGGGAAACGGAGGCAGGGGATCACAAATTTGATGTCAACCTGGGCTACGTAGTGAGACCTTGTTTTTAAAAAGAATCCTTTTTAAAGGTAAAGGACTTTAAAAGGACTTTCTAGCCAGGCATGGTGGCTCAGAGGCAGGCGGGTCGCTGTGAGTTCCAGACCAGCCTGGTCTACAAAGTGAGTCCAGGCTAGCCAATGCTACACAAGAAGGAGTTAAGAAAATTTCCGGTTGAGAAGTACAATTGTTTTTCGGAGCCTGGTATTAGAGCTGAAAGGCAGCTATGGAGAAAGAGAAGACATGCTGATCAGAGAAAGCTGAGAAGAGAGCAAGACGAAGAGAAGCCAGGTGGCTGAGCCTGTCATCCCAGCACTCGGAAGTACTGGCAGGAGGAGCAGGAGTTGAAGGCTGGATGAGACCTCACCTTGGGAGAACAGTAGGGGCTGTGTTTGAGGTGTGTGACGGGACAGGGCCGCAGCTGGGGTCAGGCTCCCCACGTCCTCTGTTCCTTGCTGTAGTCTGTTTTGTTCTCTTGTGGTTTTGTCCTCAGTGGTACCCGTGACAGTGCGTGGTGGAGCCCAGCTGCGGGAGGCTGTGGATTCAGTCTAATGTGCCACCAACACAAAGGAGAATACTTAATTAACAGCTCATTTGTCCTTGTGTTTAATCCATTTCTGCCACTAGAACATTCTCTCTCTAAGGGTCCACTGTGTGCGCAGCCCACAGTGTGTGCCGAGTGAGTACTGCAGCAGTCTAGTTAGGAGCTCCTCACCACATGGAGGCTGAGGTGTGGGCCAAGGCTAGAGTAAAAGCGGCAGAAGTGAGGAAGGGGCTGGGGAGACGGCCCAGTGGCTTGCCACAAAGCATGAGGCCCCGCGGGGGTTCCTCAGCACCCAACTCTGTACCCCAACACTGGGTCCCCAGAGCTCACTGCCCGTCAACCTAGTCAGTGACTTCCATGAAAAAACCTTTAAAAATTAAAGTTGTCAGTGACAGGGAACATGTGTGACCTCCACACACATTTACCACACACAAAGTAAGGGGAGAAAGAACATGGCCACCCTCTAGGAAAGATACGTAATATGAGCAGGTGTGGGAGGGCGTCTGCTCAGGTTTCTGACTCCTGGAGGTGGTATGCCACACTGTTCGGCCGGCAAGCACACTGGACTTTACAGGACCCCAAGCAAATGCCTTCCAAGCGCTCCTGTAAACCATGGCAGCCGGCACTCGTGTCAGCGTTAGCCTTAAAGATGGCACTGTGACTAGGGCATTGAGTCACAGGAAACTTGAACACTTCCTTTCTCCTGTTGTGTCCAGCTGGCTGAGCCAGTGGCCCCTCCCTGTGGGCCTGCTGGTGATTCCTGGATAGATGGGCTTTCTATATAAGGAGAAAAGTTGGGGACTGGCTGTTGCTGTGTTCCCGGGATGACAGCAACAGCCACAGCCGGGAGCGGAGATGTGTTTCCAAGACAGTGAGGGCTCTTCCAGCTGCCTCTGCCAAACCCAAAGGCAGCATCATGGCTCTGTTGCACCTTCTGGAGTGTGTGGTGAAGGCAGCTTTCCACTTGGCTGCTTTGGTGCTGAGGTTGTTTACATGTTTTAGTAAATGACTTCTCGAAGCTGACCAAATAGGCGTTCAGAATAGATGGCACATGACCACAGTGACACCACTGTGCGGGAGCATCGGAGTTCAGCAAGAGAGGTTGAACTTGTGGTGGAGGATGGGTAAAAAGCAAATTCCACTTGCAGGTCTCTGCATCGTTTTCAAAGATGACAGGGTTGGGGTGTCGCTGTTTCAGGGTTCCCATGAGATCCGGCGTAACTAGATGTCCATCCTGTGAAGATGTGAACAAGAGTTTCTGAGTGCTGCAGTGTGGTCCTTCGGGAGGGTAGCAGTCAGTTCTCGGGTAAAGCAGAGATGGGAAACAGCTCTGCTGTTAAGAGCACCTGCTCCTCTTCCAGAGGATCGGTCCAGTGCCCTCAGGCCTCTGCAGACACCGGCATTTGCATGATACACATACATACACATACATGCATGCAAGCAAAACACTTGTTCAAAGAAGCCATAGAGGGCTGGGGTTGTAGCATGGGTGGTAGAGAGCTTGCCTGCCATGCATGAAGCACTGGGCTCAGGCACTGCACGAGCAGGGCTTGGTGGTGCCAGCAGGTAATCCCAGTATTGAGGAGACTCTAATCTCGCAGCCAACGCCACACCTCTGGAGATGGCTCGGCAGTTAATGCTTGCTTCTCCTCCAGGGGACCCCATGTACTCTTCCAGTCACCACCTGTGCACCCATCATCACCTAAGAAAATGAGTGCAGGGTCTTCCTTAGCCACAAAGCAAGGCAGAGATGAGCCTGGAATGCCTGAGACCTCATGGGGGTCTGGAGTGGCTCACTAGACTTTAGTCTCCATTCTTCAAACTGTTGCCATGTGGGTGTTAATATCCTTTAGTAAATTATTTTCTTTTTTAGTCATTAATAATTTATACAGAATTCTGCCTGCGGGCAGGCCTGCAGGCCAGAAGAGGGCACCAGATCTCATTTATAGATGGTTGTGAGCTACCAAGTGGTTGCTGGGAACTGAACTCAGGACCTTTGGAACAGCAGACAGTGCTCTTAACCTCTGAACCATCTCTCCAGCCCATAAGTGACTTTCTCTCTTTTTTTTTAAGATTTTACTTATTTATTTGTTTGTTTGTTTATTTATTATGTATGCACCAAGATGGCTGTGAGCCACCATGTGATGGCTGGGAATTGAACTCAGGACCTTTGGAAGAGCAGACAGTGCTCTTGACCTCTGAGCCATCTCTCCAGCCCATAAGTGACTTTCTTTAGCCACACTTTTGTGTGCCTGGGAGGCAGAGACAGAAAGAAACATCTCTTGAGCCAGGAGTCAGGGCCAGACTGGTCAATAGAGCAGAAACGAAGATGCCGGGCCTGGTGGTGCGCAGCTTCATTCCAGCACAAGAGGCAGAAGTCGGCAGGTCTTTGTGAGTTTGAGGCCAGCCTGGTTTGCGTAGCAAGTTGCAGAGCTACACAGTAAGACTCCATCTCAAAAACAAGCGAAGGGGCTCGGGGAGAGGCACAGTGTCAGGGATGCAGCTCGGTTGTAAGCTGAGGAAGCCCTGCTTTCCCTGACATGAGCTACACGAGGCAGCACACACCTGTGGCCCCAGAGCGCTCAGCCGGGAGAGTGCTTTTGCGTCGGTGTTTGTTGTGTGTGTGCCCGATGCCCAAGGAGGCCAGAAGAAGGCATGCGACCCCCCGGGCCAGGGGCTACTGAACAGGGTGAGCCCTGGGCGGGTGTGGGGCTCCGATCTTACTGCAGAGCAGCCAGTGCTCCTATCTGCAGAGCCATCTCTGCGCCCAGGACTGTCTTTAAAACACAAAAGCTGGGTGTAATGGTGCACCCTCATCTCCCAACAAAAGCCAGAGGGCAGGGAGGATGGCTGTGTGGGAAAAGGTGCTTGCTGCACTAGCCCTACGACCTGGGTTCAATCCTGGGGACCCACATGGTGGAAGGAGAGGACCAACTCCCACAAAATGCCCTCTGGCCTCCACGTACAAACGGCCACATAAGTAAATGTAATTTTTTAAAAAAGAGGCAACACCTGACAGTGCCTAGTATGGCCTTCCAGATGTACACACTTGTGTATATACACAGCAAAACACAACTACAATCCGAGAGCTTCCCTGGTTGTATTTTTTCACAGCTTTGATGTTGAGAATCAAACCCAGGACCTGGCACCTGAACTCTCCACCCTGGGTACCCTGTATTATGCTTTTCTGGAGTTTGTGTTATTGGGGTCCTCTCTGTCCCTGTCTCTGTGTGTGTGTGTGTCTAAGAGTAAGAATTGTATAGCAAGAATGAACTCTTGAAATCCGCTCCCCTCAAGGCATCACTGAAGTCCAATGCTCAGGGTTCTGGTGGGGTGGGCATGTCATTAGGTGGTGAATGCATGTTTAATGAACATGGACTTCTGGGTTCAGTTCCCAACACAAAAAAACACATCCCTGACTCCCAGATTCTTCCCCTTGGGGACCTAGTGACCAGAGCAAAGGGGGGGGGGACAGGCTCAGTGAGGCCTGTTTCATCATTTTCAGGACAATATGAGTGTTCCCTCCTTGTTTTTATTTTACCTTTTATTATTTTTTGAGATAAAATCACTATGTAGCCTTGTCTGGCCTTGGGCTCCCTATGTAGACCAGGCTGTCCTCGAACTCACAGAGATGCACCTATCTCTTCCAGGAGGCTAACATTAAAGCTGTGTGCCATCACTCCTGGCTGAATTCCTCATGTTTTTAAACGTGTTCAGTGGCGCTCGCGCGCGCGCGTGTGTGTGTGTGTGTGTGTGTGTGTGTGTAAAATGGCCCCAGAGACATTATTTTTGTTTTAAGTTTTTATTTTATTTTTAAAAATGTGTGTGGATGTTTTGCCTGCATGCTGTCTGAGCCCACAGAGGCCAGGGGCAGTTTGGGATGCCCTGGGGCTAGAGTTCCGGATGGGGGCGGGCTGCTGTGCAGGTGCTGAGAACCGAAACAGGATCCTTTGGGAGGAGAGCAGAGCTACCGCTGACCTAGCTCCAGTCGCCGGTGTCTTGGATTGTATTTATTACTCAGGCGTGGAAGTCAGAGGACCATTCACGGGGTCGTTCCTCTCCTTCCTCCCTGTAGGCTGTAGGCACTGAACTCGGGCAGCAGGGACTTCACCTGCTGAAACACACGTGTGTAGCCAAGCAGGACCCTGAACTTCTGATCCTGGTGACTCCAGCTCCAGAGTGCTAGGATTACAGGCATATGCATGCCACCGTGTTCACCTTCTGTGGCGAGCGGTGTTGAACCTCCGGCTTCAAGCACTCAAGGCAAATGCTCTACTATTTTAACCACATTTCCAGCCGCGGGGGTTTATTTTGTTCTGTTGTTTGTTTG